AAAAATATAAACAATAGCCTTATTTTTCGCAGGAATCGAGGAAGTGAAATGACGCAGACTGTTGACAGCCTTCAGGAAGCCAGTCAGCCGATATGCCTTCTTTCGATGAAAGCAAATATTATAATGGGTACATGGAATGTTCGTACATTGTACGAAACTGGAAAGGCTGCCAAGGTAGCAGCCAAAATGAGAAGATATGTAATAGAAGTGTTGGGAATCTGCGAGAGTAGATGGAACGGAAGTGGTAGGTGCCAACTACCAATTGGAGAGTCAATAATCTATTCCGGCCACACAGAGGACAACCACGAGCACACCGAGGGAGTGGCCATCATGATGTCATCAACAGCAGCCAAAGCTGTCATCCAGTGGGAACCAATCTCCTCCAGGATAATGACAGCCAGGTTTAACTCAAAAGGAAGGAAAGTTACAGTCATTCAATGTTATGCGCCTACAAACGTCCCAGAACATGAGAAGAAGGAGGCGTTCCACAGACAACTGCAAACAGTAATGGACAACGTCCCAAATGGTGATATCAGAATCCTAGTTGGTGATATGAATTCAAAGCTGGGAGGAGACAATATAGGAAGAGAACACACCATGGTCGTGAGGCTGTGGGTGAAATGAATGACAATGGTGAACTCTTCTCAGGCTTCTGCGCCTTCAATGATTTGGTGATTGGTGGCAGTGTGTTCAAACAAGAGTATATACACGAGGCGACAAGGATCTCGCCAGATGAACACACCGAAAACGAGACAGACTTAATCTCAATCTCAATGAAAGTTGAACACTCAATTACTGAAGGACACAACCACAAAAGACACCTTCACCGAAACTGTCAGAGCAAAGCAGGAAACACTACGCGACATCACTGAAGAATCATGCGTGGAAGAATATTTGAACTCTCTGAAGGTGGTACTCAACGAAACGTGTTCAACGGTTCTATGAAGAAGGAAGAGACAAGACAAGGAATAGCTCTCAACGGACACTTGGAAACTAATGGAAGAGAGGAGAATGGTGAAGGAGAAAATGATTCAGTGCAAAGACGGACAGGAGAAGGAGACGCTGAGCTCAACTTACACAGCGCTGGACAAAGAAGTGAAGAAGACTACTTGGAAGGACAAAAGACAATTCTACGACAACCTCGCCACTGAAGCTGAGAAGGCAGCAGCCAAATGGGACCTGAGGACATTATATCAGACAACCAAATCTCTATCCGGGAAGAGATTAACACAAGTGAAACCTATAAAAGACAGCCAAGAAAACCCAATTACCAAGGAAGAAAAACAGATTAAACAATGGGCGGATCACTTCAAAGGACACTTGAACCGATCACCATCTGCAACCCATCCAGAAATACCAACAACAGCGCGCACACAACTGCAAGTTGACACCAACCCTTCAACGAAAGCTGAAGTCTTGAATGCAATCAAGCTTATGAAATTTGGAAAAGCATCTGGACCAGATGGAATGTCCCCTGAAGAACTGAAAGCGGACCCAGAGACTACAGCAGACATGCTGACTCTATTATTGCGAAAGGTCTGGAAGGAGGGAAAGATGCCTACTGACTGGAGAAAGGGTTACCTCGTGAAACTACCAAAGAAGGGCGACTTAGGCCCCACTCTTCAAGAACTGGCGAGGAATCATGATCCTGTCGACATCAAATCATGTTTTGTCCAAATTGCAGTTCTATGCATCCTCATGAACAAAGCACGGAATGGCGATCAAACCTCTACCTCAACTTTATAGACTTTGAGAAGTCTTCGACAGCGTTGATCGCGAAGTAATTTGGAAACTACTTGAGTACTACGGCTTACCCCAACCTTATTCAACAGCTGTACGACAACAACGGCACATGTCAAGTAATCCCCAAAGGAAAACTCAGCGAGGCGTTTGGAGTAAACACAGGAGTCAGACAAGGGAGCTTATTATCACCAATGATATTCCTAATTGTGGTGGACTAACTGGATTATGCGTCAGACAGTGAATTGGAAACGAGAAGACAGGAATATCCTGGACCGACGCGAAGAACCTAGAAAACCTGGATTTCGTGCGTGGATGATTTATGTTTGATGTCACACAAAATCGAAGACTTACAAGCGAAAACCGACAAACTGGTCGAAGAAGCAGCCGGCGAAGACAGGACTCCAGGCGAACATAGACAAGACGGAGGTTATGAAAATAACCAACCAACAAAAACAACAGCAACATCCAGCGCAAATCAACATCAGCGGGAGGGATTTGAAAGGGGTTACTTCATTCACTAATCTAGGGAGCATTGTCTCAACTACAGGCGGTCGGAATGGACGAGGATGTCAAATCGAGCGGGAATCGGAAAGGCAAGAAACACATTCATCAGCCTGAAATCAATCTAAAATCTTCGTCACTCAGCATCAACAACAAAATTCGGTCGGATTTTCAATACAAACGTAAAATCAGTTCTTCTATACGGATCAGAAACTTGGCGGGTCAAAAAGAATATTTCCAACAGCCTTTTGCAGGCCTTCATCGACCAACAACTGTCTTCGCTCTATACTGAAGATCAGATAACCGGGCCGGAAAGAATCACCAACAAGAAACAACTATGGGAACAAACAAAACAAGAACCAATCGCCCAACAAATATGCAGGAGAAAGTGGAGATGGGTTGGACACTCGTTGAGGAGGCCGGTTGGTGACATCGTGCATCAGGCCATTGCTCAGTGGAACCCGAAAGGGAAGAGGGAGTGGAATATCCAAGAAAGATATGGAGGAGATTGTGTGAAGAGGAGTTGAAACAGCATGGACTAACACGAATGCAGGTGAAAAGTACAGCAGAAGACAGAAGCAAGTGGAGACGTGCAGCTGACGCCCTGTGCTTCACTAGGAACCAAAGGGAACAATAGTAGTTTATAATAATTCGAATGTGTTCATGCTCAGCGGACATTCTTCAACCGACCAGAAATGATCGTCATCCCCAGATTGTGTCAGATGCATTTTCATTCGGTAATCCGTTAGTTCGTTAAATACCTACAAAGTAATTCTCGAGAAGTAATCTCGTGCTTACAAGTGACTGACTACAGTACGAAGTTGACTGGAGAAGGCGTAACCAGAAGGCTCCACCTGGTCGGGAGGGAGGACGAATAATCGCCGAAGATACTGGTTTTGCGGTGGCGTTAAAATCGCGATTCGCTAGATGTTAGAATTCGTGAGCTGGCTACAGAGTGGGATCTCAGTGGCCGAATGGTCTCCGAGCTTTTCTGTAACTGGAAGGTGGTGGGAACGGAACCCTGTGGGTGTGTACTGCGATAAGTCCTAAATTCGGGTGACGAAGCAGCTGTTCAGCTCTCTCTCTCGTGGTTTCCGATTGTTCCATAATTTTGGAGGACCACCAATGATTATGTAAAAATTTTTACATTTAATGCTGTTTAAACTATTTTTTGATGAAACTGTGTCTCCACTTACATATCTTGGCGCTCTCAGTGAAGGACAATGGATTTATCTCAAGTCAAACAACATGAGTATATGTTGAAACCTCTCGACAAATACTTGATAAAACTCTTATGTTTTACCGTTTCGGATAGCGTGACATAGATTTACTGATCGACAGCCACTGAAGACTTCTACTCTCACGAGTTTTATGTAGAATACGGGGGTTTTAACATAACACTACTATTTTTTTTGAATTCCCTAGTTTTCTGTAATATATCTCTAGGACTTCTCACAAGCCTTCATCTCTTCGTCACGTTGTCTTCTAAGTATCACTCCCGAACTCATTATCAACTCGTCGTTTTCTAGTATACTTTCATTAGAGGTCATGGCACTTAATGTCTCCCAGTGGTCTCTCATCCTGCGTCTAAGCCGTCTGCATCTCATTTGAGAATTTTTTGAGGGATGGATCCTTTATAACTATCTTTCAACGTTTATTTGTTGCATGAAGTTTTCAGCCATCATGAGTTCTTCTGGTGAGGATATTGTGTTTTGTGAAATTCTGCAGCCACCTGTCGCAAAGGCTTTTCATGACGCGTTTGTCAGGCTCTGAGTGATACTAAACTCAAAGTGAAAATTCAAATATTGTACGCTATCCACTATGCTGCTGATTTCCACAGAGATTTTAAAGAAATGAAGATTTGTCTGTCTGACTTTGAAATCCTCATGTGTGCCCTCGCTGTAGCTGATACCATTGATTGACAAAACAAGTGACGGATGAAACTTTCTTAAGATGCCTCCGGTTGGTGGTGATTGGTGCTTGTTCTCGACTAGAATCGAAGTAACTCGTTTAAAAGAAATATAAGAAACCACTGTGGAGAGAAATATATACCTCAGTCTACACACCTGTCCAAGTTATGCACACCACAGAGATGCCTTAAATAATCCTTCCGAAATGTTTTATTTCCTCATAGATTTATCACAGAAATACCGACTTGATGCGAAAATGGATGAAGAATAATGTAGGTGGGGACAGAGTGTGTAAAAATACTTTTTCTGTTGGTTAAGTGGGATTCACTGCATTATGATAGTGTAGTGCATCAAATTCTACTGTGATTTGTCCCGTTTGTTATAGTGCTGACTCTGTCAAAGTTTAATCCGTGACGACTGGCGCTTTCAATATCTGTCTCACTTATTCTAAATTTCAGCCAAAATTCAAATCACATTTCATAATGTACGATGCTATTTACCACTAACTGGTTGATTTGAGTAGTTGGATATATTTCACAACGCCCAGTAGTGCATATTAGCCAATCGAAAAGAAATCTGTACCAGATGATGGTTTTCGACATTTTGGGAAGAATGACTCGGGAAGATGTGAGTAATTCCTCGAACATTTTGGGTATATGAATGGAAACGAAATCAGTCTACTGACACTCTGTGTCGATTCCAGCCACTTGTTCTTTTGAAAAAAACAGTACGAGGTGAATTCCATAGGTAGTTTATATTTCCTTGCTGAAAATAATAATGAAAGCACAATGTCAGCTAGTGAGGCGAACCACCAGTATCCTTCCATGTGATATCATCTATATTTCCATTATTTTCTGATTTCAGGTCTTTTGGTGCTTTCCTGAAATGAAAATGAGCACGAATTATTGCATTAATCTGCAGAAATGTATAAGTGGAACGTCCTGTGCAAAAGGAAAAAGAAACGACTTCACTTTCACATTTTCCCTCAGACAGTGAGGTTGAGAAGCCATCAATTCCATAATTATATCCAACTTTATCTGGGCATGTGTCGTCTTCAGTAATTTGTACTTTTGAGTTAGTTGTGATGTTTTTGGAAATATTGGAGTTCAGTCTTGGCCTTATCACCTCTGTACGGTGATTAGCATTAAGCAACTGTAGAAGTGAGGTGATAGCAAAAGTAAGTCGGTGAGTTTAAATGTGAGGTCACAGACTATTTTGTTTAGATGAAATGAACTCACTTCGATTGCCTGAGCAATGATCTGATAATGGTCAGTGATCACTGGAATGAAAATTTAGAAATCATAGAAAATTAGTAATTAGATAGTTCAGTCAATTAGTCAAAGAGAAATAAATTCAGCGTTTATACGTATGTATACGTCAATCAATTTTACAGTTAGTAATTATCTTTCCACGAATACTCCTAAAGTTTAATTCAGTAGATTGTTACTAGCAGAGGAATCTAGTACAACGTGTAGTCCATCCTACTTAGGACTCGTCAGTTCGCAAGATGTACCTGTATTTCCCAGTGGGTCACTGATGATGTCTCCGCTGATTCTTGGACCCAGTAACCAAAGTTTCAAAAGCCAAAGCGTTATCCAATAGATTGCCAACGTGATAAGAATGTCCTCATTGAATTTATTAAAAACTGACCCCTTTCTGACGATAAACAGGTGGCTTTCCTAACCCAAGTGGTCGGGTGGATAACGCTTCGGTATTTAAAACTACAGGTAAAGCTTTCAAGCCTCATCTAGGACACCATCACTGACTCACTGGAGAACGCAGGTGCACCAATTAGCTGATGAGTCCCAAATAAGGCGGACTGCACGTTGTCCTTGATTCCACTGCCCGTTACCTGCCACAAAATCACCCCAGGTTAAAACCTCGGACATCGTCAAATCATTTGCACAAGGAGTCAAAATGTCAAACTGGGGCAGAGCCCACTGGTTCAATCAGTTGACGGGAAAGTTCGAATTGAATTAAATGACAACTCTCAAAGTGTTGTCAAAAGGTACGATTGCATGGTCGCAAATATGAGTTCGATAAACACCACACCAAAGAGCGATAACACTTAACTGCACAGATACTTACTTCCTAAGGAGACGAAAAGAAGAATGGATGTGACAGGCAAAATACAGCAGTCTACAAACATAAGGCATCTGTCAAGAATTTCCGCATGCTTTTAATTTGCAAATAAGTGTTTATTGCCATGTGATACATATTAGAAAGAACATTTAGATGTGTCTTAGAAGTTCTTATTGTTGGCACCCAACATAAACTTTGGTATTGAAGTAGAAACCTAGCAGGCTATTTCGTTTCTTGACTTTCAACTAACAGAAAAAGTCTGATTGGACACTGAACAAATCGGTACATGGAACGCTCATATGGAACGGTCAGCTGACAAACCAGTAGAGTTCGACTCGCATCACAAACGAAACCTGATAATGTCTTCTGACAACATTTATTGCATCTACACTGAGAATGACATTCTCCTGCCACCCAATATTCTCTAATAACTCGAAAGGTGAACTATCGAATGTGAACACTTCTCTGTGTGGCAAACAATTCATCTGGTCCTGGTTAGCGAGATATATGTGTCGTTCTGTGCCCTTTTTCTGTAAAGGAGGCAAGGGACAATATGTTGTATTTCTTCAGAAATAGTCCCAATGATTCGATACAGAGTGCTGTAATCAAACAAATATTCAACACTGGTCACTCAATATCTAAGGGAAATCCGTTTGCTTTTATATGCAAAGCGAATTGTGGTCTCCAGAAAACTGTAAACTTCTTTACGCTTTGCATTTCTGAGGGCATATCCATCCCCATATCGACCTCGTAAGAACAGCGATACCTAAACCAATTATGCATGCATTCTGCCTCTTGACAATTCGTGATATATATTTTGTAGCGATATGCTTATGTATTCGCAGAGAATGAGTGGTCTATGGCTTTGCAACTGGAACGTCCTTGGTTTGATTCGCGGCGGTGTGTATGTACTGCAGATGAGTACCTATTGATCAAATCCTGTAGCCTTTCAAGTTCCTGGAAATCAAACAACTGACATTCAATATTGAATAGCTTGATGAATGAACTGGCTGGGGAGATTGCCTTCGCTCAACTTTTTGTTCTTATATAGACATGTGAAAAAGGAAACCCGAATGTGACAACAGTGTATCATAATGAAAAAATACCTTATAAATTATTGTAGAACTTACAACTGTGCTTGATATACTTCGAAGCTCGTAGGCACTCGAAATATAGCATTCTGGTGGTTTGCGCGACGGCTAAAATGTATTTAACAATAAATATCTTTTGACATGTACATGAATGCAGATTGGATACTGTATGTGATACTAATGTTGCTGGAAAAAATAACGTGTACTACACATCGTTGTTTGTGATTTATCGATGATGGGATTTTCTCATTCGAATATAAAAATCAGTCATTGAAGAAGCGATTTGAAAGAGAGAGTTTTCATATTGACTGAATTGAAAGTAGATCTCACATTCAGGAGGAAAATGCACTCCAGCAAATATTCAGACTTCGAATCATCACGCTGTATCAGTGAAAAGGTACCGGTTCTTCCAAGTCTTCAGAGACTTTTTGATATTTAAGGTTTTGAAGGGAAAAGAAGAAGAAGTATCATATATTACTGAGACTCGCAAGATGAATAACCACCCAAAGAACTTCATTAACAAAAACAACAGCGACATTAATTATGGTGGAAAAAGGCTTCTGAAGATATATGCCTTCACAGCTGTCATTCCATATAGATCGGAAAGACCAGAGGGTATCAGAAGAGTGATCAACACCAGAGATATCTTCAAAACATCAGACACACTAAAAAGCAACCTTGTGAATGTTAAAGACCAGCTTCTAAAGGATTCTCAATCTAATTGTGTCTATAAGATAAAATGCTCGTTTGTAATTTGATGTGAAATAAATTGGATAAAAAGTGACAGAGAAATCTAGTTCAGAAAAATTGAACGCCATATTGTATCCGATAGACCACTAAGAAATCCAGTTGAACTAGAAAAGCTTAAAAATTCATTGTCCATAGATCTGTCTACACGCTATAGCATCAGATCATAATACAGATTCTCATTACAGTGAAACTTCAGAGGTCACAAAGAAAGTTCAATATCAATCAAAATCACGTCATATAGAATGTAATCGACATTTTCTGAATAGGATTTATGGACTAAGGTAGATAGATATTCAATTGGTTACATCATTCATCCCACCACGTGGAGTGAGGAAATCATCACGAACGTGATCAGAGATGTCATCAAGTAATCATATTCTGTTTTTACAATTTTATACACTTAACAAATGGAAAAATCGACACTTGGTTTCGCTATGTTTACCAATAGGCCGAATTGTCGACAACATAAAAATTACCACATTTCGACGTAGGATGATTAAGTCAGTGTATGTATAGGCTGAGATTTCGTAAATTTTGGTTCAATATTTCTACTATGATAAAGTTTTTAGCGGCATCAAATAGCGAGATGTCGTTAAAAACAGCGATATCGTTTTTTTTCATTCGTTCGATGGGAATTATAAAAGTATCTATAACAATGAATACCATACACACAAATGACCAAATGTTTTCAAACTGTTCAAAGTGAACTAGATTTGGACATATATAATATATCTAATGGTATCTGTTGTTGGGACTCTTCAGGATTGAACACGGGACCTTTGCCTTACGAGACCAAGCTCATTCAGTGTTCAGCCGATTGAAACGGGATTCAATGACCTATTTTCAATGACCTCTCTAACTGTTGTTCATTTTGTGATGGAAACCTTACAATTAAATCCCTGCAAATTCTATAATCTGGGGAGTTAGCAAATACATTTATTCACTTCTTTGCATTTTGGTAAATCAAGAACAACAATTTATCTGGAATCAGATGGTACATTCATCTATCTCATTGGCTGTTCATCAGCTGCGCAGACAAAACATTTCAGTTCTCCACGAGTTTGCAGAAGCAATCTATGGGAAACGTCAGAAACTCTACTTATTTATTCAGAAGGAAGCAGTTATCAGAGTTTCCTTGCCCTAGTGACCGGGTATCTTTACCCTCTCTTCCATGTAATAATGTAATCTTTGACTTGAACGTCACTCCCCTTTGATACAGCTTAAGTTTGTTTGTCTCTTGTTTCAAGAGTTCTACTGAAATTTGATGGATTCACTTTATTATTATTAAATTGTGTTGCTTGTTTTAAATTCGCATTGGGAAATAAACGTTTCCAGTCTTATGATTTCAGTTGGACTCAGTGTATTGTTACTCAGACAGTATTGCGAAACGTGTTCTGCAGTCAATTACTAACCTATTTCAAGATTAGGGACGAAGAGGAGATTTTATGCAATAAATTCTGCTGGACATTGTGCTATTATATCAGTACTGATCAGAATAAAGCTGTTGATATTAATATTATTATTAGAAAACTACCTATATTCATTGGTATAGGCAGATAAGCCGTACACCTACGATACATGGGATGCAGACTCTGACCTATAAATTGAAAAAAACTTTGGTAAGAATTAAACTTAAAGTTCAACATGCAGAAAATGTTACATTTGAATGAGTGAAATGAGACAGAGAGGACGCAGTATAAAGTATTCGATCATAATGTGTACACTTCATTGTTTACTAGATACTGCTATTTCCATGGTGCTGGTGAGATACCATGAAATATTGAGTAATTATTCTCGTCTGCATACAACACACCGATGACTGATAGCAGGAGGAAGTTTTCTGAAGTTCATCTGGGAATTCTTGATCAGTGGAGTTCACAAAGTTGCTTATGCGGGCAAATATTCACCGATAATGGTGGCTCTCTGTGGTGTGATGAAGCTGACATTTACCGAACCCCAAATTAATTGTTCGGATTTTGGATCCCCTAATAACAACCTAATGAATGAAGGAATAGACCCATCATCTGAACGTAATACGTTCGATAGTCAGAGATAGTCAGATACTGGATAGTCCTGAACTAGAGCGAAATAGCTCTCCAGTACAGCCTGATTTTCAACGGTTCTCTAAGTGATGTTTGCTAAATGTCAGGAAATTATACTATGCTTTCTTAATTGGATCTGTCATCAGGGTTTTAGGCCAACGAAGTGTATCCCTAACGAAGTTGGTGGGTTGGTTGGTTTAAGTGTCATGCTAATTCCAGTCTCATCGGGGATTCATTGATAGGCGTCCTTCACGCAGTTGTACTACACACACATTGAATCCCGTCTAATATTGAGCTTTTTTGCATGAACAAGTGAGGGATACGTTCAGATTTCAACATAGTGATTGAGTATGCCATCCACATATGTTCACCATAACGTAGGAGCAGCTTTAGGCGTTCTAAGAGTTTCATGTTTCCAACTGTCCACAAAGATGTTTGCCACTGTCGAGGATACTGGCGATCCGATTATCACCCCACTTCTTTATTTGAAACTCGAATAGATTGAAGGTTAGAAACCGGATACCTAATATTACTTCATCAATCGAGAGCTTTGTCCTACTTTTGAGTTCAGGATGAATGTTCATTTCATTCCTAACTATCTTCAGAGCTGTATTGATGTGAATATTAGTGTGCTAACTGGTGACCATGTCAAAAAAATCATTTCCTCATTTCTATCCAACTGAATTTCGTCCAGCTTCTGTTCCATTATACAGGAATTAGTTAGCCTAGAATTCGACCTTTCTATAATGAGGCATGCATGCTATTGGTGCTAAATACTTAGTTAACTCGTATGTTTGGGTGTCCATGAAGTCAATTTTTAGCCTATAAGGATATCCTGCCTTATGAATTTCGACACTGCTCTATATTCTACTAGAAAAAATTGTTGTAGTCATTAGATTGAACCATTTGACTCACCTAAAAATGACTTCATACGGCGTAGTAGTTCACCTGGATATATTTTGACCTTATGCAAAATACAGTCCATGGTGTATTTAATTCCTTCTTATGGGTGTGTTTGAATATTTTGATTGATCTTGTTAGCAAAAAGTGACTTGTCCATGACCACTGTTGTATTATAGTTGTTCGATTTCCCAATTACTGTTCATTCTATTTCTTCAGGCATTTCAGAGCTGCTATTTCTTTTTGAGATAGGTTGCTTCCTCATAGAGAAAGTTATTCGAAGTACGGCCGTGGAGAAGGTTTCCCTGAATGAGTAATGTAAACGGTTTCTTTGAGTTTCTGCTGAGTCCGAACCGAACTGTGGATTCTTGTAAAAACGTCGTTTACGGGCAGAAAGTGTACGTGGTCTTAGTGGTTTTAACTTCACAGAATTTTTAGTGCGATCTGCAACGAGAATTCTTTTCATAGTGTTCAGTTCCTCTTCTGTACTCTTAGGAATGTAAATGCTGAGTATTCTATAGCTCAGTGAACACATCACGTTTCGTTTTGTGAAAAAGGCACTCAACTATGAAGGTCAGTAAGTTGTCAGCTCCACGTCGACTTCCTATCTAGGAATCTTTTTAGTTTCCTACTAGATATTTGTGACTCTACAGCTTGAGAAAGATATTGCCAAAGATAAGAAAGCAACTCTTCACTGAACGTCTTTCTTTCTTTCATATGACTAAATGAGGATTTTCAAATAAAAATCTATCAACTAAATGCTCTGTATTTTTATTGAGTTCATGAAATTTCTCACCTTTAAAATAATTGAAGTGATTTTGATACTGTGAAACATATCCTTCGTAGTCTTTGACATAATCCCCTGGAAGACATGATGAATAAAATGAGAGATAAACACCGATCTGATCTACATGTACGGTAGACAGTGTTTGCGATACTACATGCAGTTAATTTCCTTGACGGGATTGAATACAAGAAAATACAGGTCCACACATCAGTACTCATACGAACCTTTCAAGGTGGTGAAGAGACAAATCCCTTCATGTCTGCTACCTTGGATTTATGAAGCTGTAACAATCCAAAGTGTGAAACCATAATTATGTATGAACAAGTGGGGCTAGTACTAACTTATTACCACCTTCGTGACCACTGATGTCTCTTTCACCTTAAATCATCGAAATTTCACATTCTTTGAAGATTGAGTTCATCCGTCTTTTAAATTAATTTTACGTCGTAGTTATCTGTCTTCGACCTCTTTTAGTTCAGCTGAGTGAGTTTTCACATGATTGTGTAAACGTTTTCACTTATGTTTGAGTAACTTTTGAATTCCAATACATTTTTGGACTTGTTATTCATGGAATATTTTTATTTTAGTAAAAGTTTGAATATTGTAAGTTCCTGTGTAGTGTGCGCCTCGTGTGCATCTTCGGTATGTAATTAGAATAATATCAGATTAACTGCCTATTCAGTTAACACATGTTCATTGTTTATTGTTATTATTGTTCCCTTGCGTTTCGATTAAAACATGTTGCCTCATCAGCATATCCTCATTTTATTCTCTTTACCACAGTCCTTGATAGCTGTCTCCAAAAATGCCTATAAGATCTTATCAACTTCTCATATTATCTCCTCCACATCTACCTCAGATCCATTCTTAACTCGCTTTTTTTTCCTTTGAATTTATTTAGATTGTCTGTCTTGCGCGTGATGTCACTGAATCGTCTCCTCAGAGTTTGTCTAATCCATTTCCATTTTATTCGGAATATTTTTCAGGCAATAGTTTCTTGATTTGTTCGTTGGTTCCCAGAGTTCTCTGTTGCTAATCCTTCCTGACCCACCATCTAATCTTCAGTAGGAAGCAATGACAGTCGGTAATAGAAATCTGAAGCCTGCTGTAAATATTTTGTGTGACCCTTATTGAAAAGCTGATTGACTTCACAATGATATTAAAAATCCAAATTTGTTTCTTTATGCTGAAGATTTCTAAACTAATCCCAGAGTGATGGAAGTTTACCTAACCTTCCCAATTCTAGTTTTCACAACCCCATCCACACTGTCACCTGTAACTGAAATGATGCTGCCTAGAGAAGTGATTCATTCTCCATACATTTTATTATTCTGGTTGCATGCAGCTGATGAATGCCTGTGATATAGAATGCCTTGACTCTATCTCCTGTAAAAGTTGTTTTTACTGCGCTATTAAATGATTCCTTTGTAAGCAATCGATTTTGAAGAAGTGAATATATAAAGGCAAAAGCTTAACAAATTTTCCCCACACTGGACAGGATAGTACAGAAGAATGATTTTAAAGACGTACCACAAAGTCTTTTCGCTTTATTCATAAACACCAGCAAGCCTATATTATTCACAAAAACACAAAATAACGAAAAACCAAATAAATTTCTTCTAAAACAAATAATATAGAGAATTTATATTGACTTTCACTCGAGAGTGAACTACAATTTTGACATTTTGAATATTATTCTCATTTGAAAGTGTGGCGTTCAGAAAAGATTTTTAAGCAGTCAATTAAAGTTGCTCAGCCAGGATATGACACACTAATCAGTAAGTATTATGACTACTTGGGGACACATTATTTGGTGATGATTTGTACCTCAGATGAACTGCATTGACACTAGTGTGTCCACTGAACTGATTGGCTTAATCACGAAGCCTTCATTGTCATCCTAGACAAAAGCTTCATTGCCCATTTGGCAATGGATTTATGTTTCGAGAAAATGCAGCGACAGAAATGATTAAGACTTTGTTCTTCCTCTTCACTTATTGCGGTTATAAGTTAATCGGTGTAGACCTTTTTCAAGTTTGACGTGTACACATCAGTATTTGCGCTGAGCTGTATGTGTGGGATGATGGCTATAGCAATTTATGATGCATAATGTCATAACATGAATTAATATTTCAAAAAGACCGAACCTTCATAGGCATCCGTTAAAAAACTAGCTGCATAATATTCACGTTGGCATTTGAGATCTATAAAAGAAATCTTCATGAATATCACTATAATTTGAACATACAGAGTCCAATTGTTTTGTTTTGATGGGCCAGTTTTCTGTCGATATACCCTGCAAGTAAGAAATGATTTTATATAGATGATACTGTACGATTGCATGTATATACTTAAGTGATTTATTTCAAACAGCCTTGATCTGAACACATTGAAAATTACTAATCTAATAAAAAGGTAGGTGTATTTTGATTGCTTTGGACTGAATTACCTCTCTAAGCTGAGTCAAAGCATATATGTCATTGAGAAGCTGAGTGGTGAACGACCGGATTGGTCTTCCGACATGTGGGTCTTACTGATGCTGCCAGCAGGCACTACTGAATGTCCAAGCCTGTATCCAACTACTCATATAAATCAGTCCGTCAGTGAGTCAGAAGTTCATGACATCATTCATTATGAAATGAAATTGGGAAATTTTATTCAACTCTACAACAAGTATGACATATGCTACAAGCGCTTGGAAAAAGCGCTTAGTCACTCAGTAAATGTAGATGGAATCATTGCTTTTCCGGATGAAAAGTTCTGAGGAAAAAGTTATAACGTCATGCAGTGTCGGCCATTTTACCAGTCATTCGTTAAATGCCTTAACCACATTTCACAAAATATGGAAAACTGATTTTCACCTACTTTGTCTCTGTCTCCATTGGGATCCAGAGTCTTCTGCAAGGCGTAGATACTTCTGTGATAACTCTGTGAGTAAATAAAATATTTTGAAACCATCATTTAAGCCATCTTCGTGGTATATATTACTTTGGCAGGTTTGCGAATCGCAGTATATATTTCCCACCACAATTACTGCATTTATTCTTTCTAATCACGTTTTTCGGTATATTTGTAGCACACAGTATAGGGTAGAATCTCTGAATTTTCAAAACTCACGTCAAATCCTGGTCTGATCCAGTTGCAAATGCACGTATCATCATCGAACAGAGCATAGAATGGAAGTGAAATATCTGCTCCAAATTTATCTACTTTAAAATCACCTTCAACAAACAGTGTTGACCGCCTGCTAATTCGAAAACTTATTCGACACAATGAAATGCAGTGGCTAAACCTAAGTCAAAATCTATGAATAGCTAACTATATGGCAATGGCGAGTTTCAGATGATCCACAAAGAAAAGCTCAGTGAGGAGTTTTCGGTGGATACAGGAGTAAGACAAGCAGGCTGCCTATTACCACCGATGATATTCTTGGTTGTGGTGGATTGAATTATGCGTCAGACTGTGAGTGTGGAGCGAGAACACAAGAACACTCTGCATTTACCGATAAGACGACTTTAGAAGATCTCAATTTTTAACGGGTAGCACATTTTAAATAACAGTTGAATTCCCTCAAAACGTGAAACAACATGGCCAGTAAGAAAGGATTAGCAACATGAGCCTACTGGAACAAACTAAGCAAGAACCTCTCGCTAAACCAATATGTAAGAAAAGATGTACATGGATTGATGACACAACGACGAGGAGACGCCTGAACAGTATCGAATCCCAGTGAAGTTGTAGATTGAAAGCAAATCGAGCTGTGAAGAGTTGGTTGACAATTCGAGGGTGGAATGAAGGAAATCATGTGCCGTGAAGGAAATGAGAGATTATTGCGAACGTGTGTCCAGCTGAAGAGGGAAAAAGGATATGTGGAAACACGGAAAAGTGTTGTTGGATACTGTTAAAAAGAAGAGTGCTAAATAATTTTATGGATTCATAAATAAAATCGTATTTGGGAAATGGAAACAAAAGTAACTATGGAAAACTAACTAGAGAGAAAAAGAGAAGAAAAACAAGGGAGGAAAAGGAGACACGAGGTGCAACCAAAAAGTAAAGAAACAAAAAGCAACACAATCGACACTAAGTAATGAAGCGACAAAATCATCACAAAGAGAAGAAAAGAAATTTTTAAAAATATGAAAACAGAGGAATCCAGGTAACATGGGAAGCAAAAATTGGAGAACAAATAAAGCAAAATGAGAAGAAAGACAAATAACGACCCTCCGTTCAATTAACATAGACAGTTCAGAAAATAAGTGAGCAATAATGGTCATCGTCACAGTGTTGGTGAGTTCACTGGATAAGCACCAGCAAACAACTAACGTTGTGCAAAGCTGTGCAACTGGAGTCACACATCAAGTATCTATTGTAAAGTATCAACTCACTTTCATTTGTGATTATTTCCTGGCATACTGAGATGGTTTGATTCCTCTCCTTCGAAGTAGCTTGATATTTTAAATGAGGAGACAGTTTCATCACAAAACAGTTTAAACATAGTAAAAGGTATAAATACTTTGTCTCCGGAATTGTGTCCTGACTGTTATGTGAACAGGCATTTCAGTTTAACCACGGATTGACAAGAATTGAAAATCACGAAAGAGTACTGGACAGCTGCTTCGTCACCCGAATTTAGGACTCATCGCAGTACACACTCACAGGGTTCCGTTCCCACCACCTTCCAGTTACCAGAAAAGCTCGGAGACCATTCAGCCACTGAGATCCCACTCTGTAGCCAGCTCACGAATTCTAACATCTAGCGAATCGCGATTTTAACACCACCGCAAAACCAGTATCTTCGGCGATTATTCGTCCTCACTCCCGACCAGGTGGAGCCTTCTGGTTACGCCTTCTCCAGTCAACTTCGTACTGTAGTCAGTCACTTGTAAGCACGAGATTACTTCTCGAGAATTACTTTGTAGGTATTTAACGAACTAACGGATTACCGAATGAAAATGCATTTGACACAATCTGGGGATGACGATCATTTCTGGTCGGTTGAAGAATGTCCGCTGAGCGTGGTCAAATTCTAATCTTGTCATAAATTGCAATGTATTTCTACCAGTCATACAGTAAATGTCTTTGTCACATTGAGCACAAAATATATAATGTCAATTTAACATACTTTTGTTATAACTCATTTTCTGCTCAATCACATAGGAAATGTTCGAGTCTCTATCTAAGAAAAATATGATGAAAAAGGACATTAGAAAATCAGTACATGAGCCAACTTTCTCCTGTGTGTAATATTCCGGTGCCTTGCATTCCTTCGATTTCAGGGTGGCACATGAGGCTTCTTGCTTAGGCTTTGAAGTTTGAGTAGCAGAGGTGCATTCTTTTAGGTGTGCTATGTCGTTTCCGGCCTCAAATCCAACCTTTTCTCCTTACTGAGGTTTCTGCCAGCTAAGAAAGGCTTAGGAGTGGATCGGCTCGAAGTTGAGTTGAACTCACACCATATTCGCGGTTGATGTTCAGTAGTAAAGGCCAACGGAAGCTTATTTTGCCTTCTAAACAGTTTTCCTTGGGTTAATGAAAATTGTGAGAATTCATAACTGAGTGGATAGACGGGAGAGATTATTGACACACTTGATATTTGTTCATTTATTAGTGCTAGCTGTAGAGAAGTGCTGAATCAGTTAGGTATGTGCATGACACTGTGTGTGTCCATTGGCTTTATCTGAGTGAGTGACTGACTGACTCACTGCTATTGAGGTTGGCAAACGACATACATTAGGCATCAGTAGATAGGGATCAACTTACTTTCTCGGTTTTCAATTTGATGCGTCTGTGACGTGTAATTTCTTTCCAGTCGTGAAATCTTCATCATTGTAGGACACGTCAAATAAGCTGAAAGCGAATTCAATGCTACTGTATCTGTGTCTGATTTTTTTATGTTTATTCAATTTAATACTTTTATAATAAAAATATGTGATAACTATAGCTTTTTTTAAACTTTTTCTTTGTGTAATTGATTGAATTCACCTAATACAATCCTCATGTGCCGAGGAGGAAATGAGAGATTATTGCGAATGTGTGTCCAGCTGAAGAGGCAAAAAGACATGTGGAAACACGGAAAAGTGTTGTTGGATACTGTTAAAAAGAAGAGTGCTAAATAATTTTATGGATTCATAAATAAAATCGTATTTGGGAAATGGAAACAAAAGTAACTATGGAAAACTAACTAGAGAGAAAAAGAGAAGAAAAACAAGAGAGGAAGAGGAGGCACGAGGTGCAACCAAAAAGTAAAGAAAAAAGAGCAACACAATCGACACTAAGTAATGAAGCGACAAAATCATCACAAAGAGAAGAAAAGAAATTTTTAAAAATATGAAAACAGAGAAATCCAGGTAACATGGGAAGCAAAAATTGGAGAACAAATAAAGCAAAATGAGAAGAAAGACAAATAACGACCCTCCGTTCAATTAACATAGACAGTTCAGAAAATAAGTGAGCAATAATGGTCATCGTCACAGTGTTGGTGAGTTCACTGGATAAGCACCAGCAAACAACTAACGTTGTGCAAAGCTGTGCAACTGGAGTCACACATCAAGTATCTATTGTAAAGTATCAACTCACTTTCATTTGTGATTATTTCCTGGCATACTGAGATGGTTTGATTCCTCTCCTTCGAAGTAGCTTGATATTTTAAATGAGGAGACAGTTTCATCACAAAACAGTTTAAACATAGTAAAAGGTATAAATACTTTGTCTCCGGAATTGTGTCCTGACTGTTATGTGAACAGGCATTTCAGTTTAACCACGGATTGACAAGAATTGAAAATCACGAAAGAGTACTGGACAGCTGCTTCGTCACCCGAATTTAGGACTCATCGCAGTACACACTCACAGGGTTCCGTTCCCACCACCTTCCAGTTACCAGAAAAGCTCGGAGACCATTCAGCCACTGAGATCCCACTCTGTAGCCAGCTCACGAATTCTAACATCTAGCGAATCGCGATTTTAACACCACCGCAAAACCAGTATCTTCGGCGATTATTCGTCCTCACTCCCGACCAGGTGGAGCCTTCTGGTTACGCCTTCTCCAGTCAACTTCGTACTGTAGTCAGTCACTTGTAAGCACGAGATTACTTCTCGAGAATTACTTTGTAGGTATTTAAAGAACTAACGGATTACCGAATGAAAATGCATTTGACACAATCTGGGGATGACGATCATTTCTAGTCGGTTGAAGAATGTCCGCTGAGCGTGGTCAAATTCTAATCTTGTCATAAATTGCAATGTATTTCTACCAGTCATACAGTAAATGTCTTTGTCACATTGAGCACAAAATATATAATGTCAATTTAACATACTTTTGTTATAACTCATTTTCTGCTCAATCACATAGGAAATGTTCGAGTCTCTATCTAAGAAAAATATGATGAAAAAGGACATTAGAAAATCAGTACATGAGCCAACTTTCTCCTGTGTGTAATATTCCGGTGCCTTGCATTCCTTCGATTTCAGGGTGGCACATGAGGCTTCTTGCTTAGGCTTTGAAGTTTGAGTAGCAGAGGTGCATTCTTTTAGGTGTGCTATGTCGTTTCCGGCCTCAAATCCAACCTTTTCTCCTTACTGAGGTTTCTGCCAGCTAAGAAAGGCTTAGGAGTGGATCGGCTCGAAGTTGAGTTGAACTCACACCATATTCGCGGTTGATGTTCAGTAGTAAAGGCCAACGGAAGCTTATTTTGCCTTCTAAACAGTTTTCCTTGGGTTAATGAAAATTGTGAGAATTCATAACTGAGTGGATAGACGGGAGAGATTATTGACACACTTGATATTTGTTCATTTATTAGTGCTAGCTGTAGAGAAGTGCTGAATCAGTTGGGTATGTGCATGACACTGTGTGTGTCCATTGGCTTTATCTGAGTGAGTGACTGACTGACTCACTGCTATTGAGGTTGGCAAACGACATACATTAGGCATCAGTAGATAGGGATCAACTTACTTTCTCGGTTTTCAATTTGATGCGTCTGTGACGTGTAATTTCTTTCCAGTCGTGAAATCTTCATCATTGTAGGACACGTCAAATAAGCTGAAAGCGAATTCAATGCTACTGTATCTGTGTCTGATTTTTTTATGTTTATTCAATTTAATACTTTTATAATAAAAATATGTGATAACTATAGCTTTTTTTAAACTTTTTCTTTGTGTAATTGATTGAATTCACCTAATACAATCCTCTTCTTTATATGATAGAATTTTGGAATTCTACACTTCATTTTCGTAGCACGATGCAAGCCTTCTTCGATCCGAAATCACTGGTCATTCATATTGTCTGTGACATCTTATTTATCATATTGAGTTTTATTCTTTTGTATCGGTAGACGACAAGAAATTTGGTAAATTTGTGTGTATTAGGAATTTGATATAAACACATAGGAATCTATGCACACCTTATATGAAAATCGTGTTTAGCACACACTCTCAAGAGCACATTATTCTAGACGGATCACTCTCAGGCTTTTCATGCCTTAGAGTACACGTGATTTCTGTTTGTGCTTAGCAAAACTCAACCGTTTTCGATCGGGTTTGGTGTGAATACTCTAATGACAACTACTTAACACTTTCATGAATGTAAAATTCTTATTTGTCGAAGAGTGAAGTATATCATCTTTAAAACAGAAATACCACTGAGTTGGATAGACAAAACAACGATTGATGAAGGACAGGCACAATGTCCACTTACATTAAATTGACAAAAATGAGGAAAGTCTGACCTGACAAAGACTTTAAACACCTTAAGAATAACTAGGATATAGTAATCACTTAGTCAGACAAAAGAGATGCAACAGTAATATCAGATAAATCAGACTATTTGGAGAACGTGAATACTCACATACAAACATGAGCGTATGAGGAGATTAAGAAATGAATAGACACCGTTCTGAATAAGATTAAGGAAGCTACGGAGTACCCTATAAGCCAAATAAAGCCATTTTTTAGATAAGTCTAAATGGTTTAATTTTATTTTTATTTTTTGTTTACAGCTTGATTCCACACCGTGTTTTTGGTACAGGAATGGAATTTTCAGCATGTGATATCAGTAGCCCAAAATTTGCAGGCAAACCATAGATATCAGGAGTGCGTCGGCAGGGGGCGAACCCCGGTCCCAACCACTGTGCCACTGACGCACAGCGAAAACAAATAATCCCAACAGGATGTATGCTGTTATTAAGTTCATAAGTCAGGATACATTATCAGACCTATGGTTGATTTTAGAAATTCACCTACTTATGAATCATCGGAATACTTACCTATGGCATCAAATCGCCTTAAAAAACTACTCGAAATCTAGAATAATAAATTCTTATGAACTAAAACATAGATTGGATAATTTAAAATAACATAGTGAGGGAAAAGTGGTTAGTTTTGACATTGTCAGTTTATGTACACGTATACTGATAATAAATATGGCTATAGAGGCAGTCAGAAATAAACTCATTTCTGACCAAGAACTTGGAGTTAGAACGGATGTGCTACTGTAGGACATACTGCAGGGAGGGCAGCTGTACCTCACTTCTACAATATTAAAATTCCAGGGGAAACTAACAGAAAAATTGAGGGAGTTGCCAGGGGATCACCAATATCCCCGGCTGTGGCAGATATATTCATGCATACGTGGGAAAAGCTTAGCGAATGGAACGTTGAACCATATCTTAAAAGTATGGTAGAGGTATGTAGATGACACATTCACTGTACTTAGAACACAAGATATAGATCGATTTTTCGAACACAATAACTCAAATGTGGAGGGAATTCAACTCACTTATGAGTCGGAAAGTCGGGAAAGGGAACTTCCACTTTTAGATTGTAGTGTGAAAAGGAAAGAATATGGGAAGTTAAACACTAGCGTTTACAGGAAATATACACACATTCAAGCAGACATTTGGATTTCCGATTTTCTCATCCTATGTCACTGAAAATAGGATTGGTGAGATGTTTGAGTAATAGAGCACAAAAACTAAGTAGTACCAAAGAAAATGTAAGACAGGAAGTGAGATATATAAGAGAAGCTTTGAAACTTAATAATTACCCTGACAAATTAACAAACCGTATGTAGGGAAATGTATAAATGAAACAGATATTAATAGTAGTGGTAGTGATAATGACATTATTAATGATAGTAATATTATTATTGACATGCATGTCAAATATGCGTATGAAAGTGACAACACCAACAATGAGGAATCTAAATCATCAGTAGTAATTCCATACAAGAAAAGAACCTCGGAAACTTTACACAGAATTTGCAACAGTACATGAATAAAAGTGGCACTCAAATCTATAAACTCAATCAGAAACTAGCTTTGTCGGTTAAAAAATCAGTCATGTGGAGCCAATTCAACAAAACGATTCAGTTTATCTAATACTCTGTCGGAATGACTGTCAGGTCAAATACATGGAGTAAATTAGTAAAACGAGGTCAGTCAGACTAGGGGAGCATAAAAACCTAGGAAAATCTGGATTAGTTGACCCCCATAAGATGAGAAATCTAGAGAATAGTTCGGCCGTAGATAACACTACATGCAATTATACACAACCGTACAATAGGATGAATGGGATAAGATGACAGTTTTAAAATCTAATGTAACAGGCTGGAGGGAGAAATTGATAACGGAAGCTTTATTTATAGAATCAAGTGCAAACACGTGTAATAGGAACGATTCAACACTTCTCCTAGATAACTGAGAACTTCTACTACCTATACGACAGATAGGATAGAAAAAAGAAAACTATAAAACTCAAATGGTGGATGGTGGCTAGCAGTGGAATCCAGGATGCACATTTCGTCCTATTTGGGACTCGTCAAAAATTCAATTCTATAAAACTCAAAGTTCAAAGTTGTGTAATCACAAGTGATGATATGATTATGAACCAAAAATTTTGTTCAAAATGCCATTCAGTTAATAATACTGTTTGACTGGGCAATATATCTAATAAACAAATTGGCATGGAATTACTTACTACCATGGTGCCCAAGTATTAAACACATATTAAAATGAAGACAGTTTTACATCAATTTTGATACTCACGTTTGATCGAAGATAATGTTAACAGTAAGACGACGGTGCATAATCGGAGTGCAGGGTTTGGCATTGTGAACAACATTTTTGAAGGCAGGCTACTTGTGTTATCTATATATACAACTAAGAATAAAGAAATATGGTTCGTGTGGCATTTAGACTATCCAATCAGTTTGATAATTATTCATAAGTGATAGCTAAAATCAATAGAATCAGCCGATATCGAACGATTCTACTGACCTGCATTCAATTAACAGAGTGTAGGCTGAATTTTTATATTGTGTCTGTAGTTTGAAAGATATGTTATTTTATTTATGTGTTACACGACTGATTTTTCCGTGCTAAAGTGTCAGTGTTTGGATTCAAAACATAGTGGACTACGTTTACCAGCAGAAGGCGTCCGTAGTTTTATGAACTTCGCTGATGCATAGAATGTATTCTGTCAACACAATTTTGACTTGAGAAGAACTGAGTTTATAAAGAAAAGGTTATAGTCAATCGGAAAGAAGCCTCCAGCTTACAATCATGAAGGCACTCATGTCCCTATTGTGAGATTGTAACCTGTGTCAATGAGTGACCAATGTTTACAGACACGTTAGCACCGAGCTTTTCAGGCTAGTGATCAATCTTATTAACGACTGTATTGGATACCTTGTTTGGTCGTTGTACAGTGACTAGTGTCGTGCATTCACTGCTTCGTTTGATGCAGACTCAATTTTGTCAGTCAGATTTGCAATCGATAACATCAACCCAGTGTGCACCGTGATGGCAAGCCATCTGGTATTGTGGTCACATTGCACGCTTGACTAGTAGGCATATGATTACTCTGAATATAAACAGAAGGAAACCGTGACGTGAGATGAATCGAAGTGATTGAGAGGTAACTTTCCATCAACGAAAACGACATACTACTGATTGACTGAGATGAGAAGTTGCATGCTACGCCTTATATGAACCATCAGTGATTTCTATCGAAATGGAAATGGCCTACTCCTCTCTTTTTTGGTGTCGGGCTCATGAGCGATGTACACAGTTGGACTGAGCCCAGAGAAGTGAACCAGTTGAAACCACTTGATTATCGGGTCTATTCTTGAGGAGGATGCAACACCACAAGTCAGATTCACAGTTCGCGATTTACACATTTCGCGATGGTGAAATCTCACCACCAGTTAAATTGAAACCTAATTTATTCTGATCACGGAGATTAAGTGATCTGCTTGATTTCATAAATGTCATGGAAGAAATCAAGCATATTTGTGTAATACTATGAACCACTGGTTGATTGAGATGAGCAGGTTCACGCCACTTGTGTCAGCCACTGCAGCCTGCTGGTAGGATCGAGGAAATCTTATCACCCGGCGGTCGGTTTTCTCATTTAGGGCTGAGGTTAGTTTGCAGATTGTGAATTTGTTGTTTACTGACGAATTGAGAGTTTACGTTTCATTAAGTTATGGTACCACACTTTGTCTCAGTCCAAATGAATGTATTCTAAACAAAGAATTATCGGTTTTGCATTAAACCTTCTATGAGTAGAGATATTTACGCAGGCAATCAGACATTGCGAATGTCAACAGTGAATAGAACAAAGACCATATTGATTATTGAATTGTTTCTTGGAAGGGAAATCAGAGATATAAAGTCATCATCAAATTTTGTTCAGCTGGAATTTGATCTATTTCTGAATAATTTTCATTTAAGAATCAGAATGCTTTGATTTTGAAGATTCGCTGTGATGACAGTCCATTTCAAAATGCGATGAATGTTGTTTTCAAACAATCCCTTATATAGAGAAAGTTTCCTGAGAAAACGGATTTGTTAATGGCTAGATAATCAGCTGACGTAGGTGAAAGAAAAGCTGGAAGCAGCAGAGGCGCATTCTTTTAGGTGTGCTTTGTCGTTTCCGGCCTCAAATCCAACCTTTTCTCCTTACTGAGGTTTCTGCCAGCTAAGAAAGGCTTAGGAGTGGATCGGCTCGAAGTTGAGTTGAACTCACACCATATTCGCGGTTGGTGTTCAGTAGTAAAGGCCAACGGAAGCTTATTTTGCCTTCTAAACAGTTTTCCTTGGGTTGATGAAAATTGTGAGTATTCAAAATTGAGTGGATAGACGGGAGAGATTAGTGACACACTTGATAGTTTTGAATAAGGCATTAAGAAGACAAATTTCGCCAGATGATATCATTTCGTAGTTCCCTTACTACCTACCACTTTACAAATAACATGGTTAACATTAATAAAATAAAGTTCATGACAATTACGCATTTAAATAAAAAACAGAAGTACATACTAATGACCAATCATATTTAGATAGGTCATGTGTCAAGGGTAGGCGAAGAGTGAAGTCTGTTAATTTTTGTACACACAGTTTAGGCTGTATGTGATTAATTCAAAGTAAGTGTCACCACTCCCATTATTGTGAAGCGGGAGAAACTGATAATATTATATTTTACAACATTCACCACATTTCCATCTGACAGAAATGTCTTATCCATGGGCATATGACACTAGTTAACCAACAGTAATTTACGAAAGGCGTGCAGAAATTAGGCTGCTAGTTTTCATGATGAGGCATAATCAGGAGAGATTCGCATAAAACAGAGGCCGATTAGTTTCATTACATATAGCCAGTTTTTTGATCGTTGCCCATTTTTACTGTAATCTCTGTATCATCCATCTGACTATTTCTTATCTCAACATGACTTAATTCGTGATATCTGCCTTTCTTCTTACTTGGTTCTTATTACTAATATTTTGCTTTGCTCTTCTACGACAGTGTGTTGTTCATAACATTGAGTTGTTTTGCAGCTTACTTTTTGAATTCTGGATGATTCCGTGGAGTGACTGCTTCATCATGTTGTATCTGCCATCATAGTCTTTCCTTCTTTTTGATTCTTCCAGACCGATTTTGGCACCGTTTTCTTTTATTATTTTTTTTGGTTCCTTTACACCTAGAGGAACATAGGGCTTCAGCCGCACGTCTCCATTGCCTTTCGTTCTCTGAAAACGTTTTCATGTGGCGTCATGGTGGCCTACATACTTTCATCTACTCTTCACATGTCCCTCTTAGACGACTAACTCGCCACTTCCTACTTGGTTTCCATTCGAGTGATGGCCTGGAGTGTGATATCACTTGATGATTTCCTCAAAGTGTGACCAATCCACCTCCATTTCTTCCCACAGATTTGTTGCCCAGTGACTTCCTGCTGGATTGGTTCGCTCCAGAGATCCCTGTTGCTGGTTACGATTCGGCGTTCATGTCTCCCATCAGTATTTCAATGTCACCAACTGGAGTAGCTTCCATTATTGCCAGTAGCTATCTGTAGAATAATTCCTTCTTTTCGAGGTCTGCGTTGTCTGTAGGTGCATAGCATTGTATAATTGTCACTTTCCTCCCTTTGGAGTTGAATCTGGTGGTCATTATCCTGGGCGAAATTGCCTTTCACTGTATCAGGGTCTTCGTTGACGCTGGTGACATCATGATAGCCATATCCTCGGTGTGCATATGGTTTTCTTCTGGGTGACCAGAGTAGATCGTCGACTATCCTGTTGACAATTTGGCGAGTCCACTCCCATTCGATTTGCTTTCTCATATTAGATATGATAGAGAAGATTTGTAGCTCAGGTGGATGATTTTGATGTGGTTTTGTTCTCCGAGCTGGATGGTTAGTTTGCGAAGCTTTCATCACCTTACTGGGTGACATCTTCAGCGCATACTTCAATTTGAAGTGAGCTTTTAGATTTCTCCACGAGTTTATTAATCATCTCTCCTGGTGACCTTGGACGTGATTGGTTGTTTGTGTGTGTTTTCACACCTTCTAGGTTACTTGTATTGGAACCGGTTGTTTCTTTGACTTGAACTTTGACCCTTTGTGTATGAAGTTTCTTTCTTATTGGTTGATAAATTTTGTCTATCTCGATGTGTCTATTGATTGATGATCCACTGGAATGCCAAGCTTCTAAAAATTCTCTAGCATTCTTGTTATTTCCTTTGTCTAATATTTGAACGTTGTCCCAGTCGAATTGATGTCCGTAGTTGTCTGTGTGTAGTGAAATGAGGGAGTGGATATCATGTCTTTTGACGGCTAGCTTATGTTCGTGGATACGAAGACGAAGGGGACGTCCACTTTGGCCGATGTAGTGTTTTTCGCAGTTGTTACAGTTTATTTTGTAGATGATGTTGGTTTTGTCTTCTTTCGCTGTTGAGTCTTTTGGTTGACATAGAATGGATATTAATCACTGTTAAACAGTCACAGAATCCCAAATAGTTATTTATAGGTAGTAATAGTCAACAAGTTCACAGATTCAGTGTCCTAGATTAAACGAGTTACAATAAATTTCACAACTTACTTAGCGATTTACCTAGGTTGCACTAATCAAGTACCTCATTTTGGAAACTTTTATTTAGTTATGTGAACAGATTATGGAAAGAAGCTTGTACACATAAAAAGTTTAAAATTTTACTGAAGCCGTCACTACTGTAATGTACGACGAATGTCCCGTTTGTGCCTAATAGTAAAATATACAGATAGATTCATGGTTCCTGTATTTGTCCAATTGATTCTCGGATACAGTGTTTTTATCTACCCTTGATCCGAATATTTTACTGGAATCTCAGTGCATATCTTGAAATGCAAAGCTAACTTAACTCACCGTTCGTCATCACACTTTGTCAAATTTGGAGCCAAATACTTGGATTCTGGTCGCCATACGCTTTTAAGGATAAAATTTATCATTTATGAATTATTTAAAGATCCACAAGCATTCCCTTCATGTTATAATCTCTAGTCTACCTATTCAAAGTGCTGATGAACAATGACAGCCTGTTTCCGATCTACATGCCTACATGAAAGCTGCTCATGTCAACCGATAGTGCTTCTTTACCAAATATAAATTATGGAAACAAGAGACGACCACTGATACTGTAACAAAAGAAGACAAGGGCCAGGCAACAGATCGTCTATTAAGGAAATCATCACATATTTATAGATTTTCATGTACATATTATAGAATATTGTTAGCAGGAAAACACAGTCTTCTGATTGGTTGTCTCTTCACTGAGAGTTAATCTTTCATCTCTTTGTGGCTGTTTCT